GTGCAGAAGAAGGAACGGGGTGGTTTTTAGTCAGTAAGAGTCTGACACTCCCTCCCGCCTCACCCAGGCGGGAGCAGTCATTCGATGATTTTCCCCCCTTAACTCGTCGAGCACCGTCATTATAGACACAATTAAAGAACAATAGGTTGCGGTCACCGGTGACCGCTTGGTGTTTGACAGTTTAAAAAAAAAAAGAGCCTTCCTCGACAAAACAATATAAACAAGACAAACTAAGAGAAACAGTAGATAGTATTTTTATAACAATAAGCTCACATCAGTAGTTCTACCCCTATAAGGAAAAATCAGGCATGTTGTTACGTCATCCTTTGTACGAGCTCGCTTCCTTGTACCATATAACCTTGACCAGGACATCTTGACCTATGGGATAATGATGCTCTCATTATATTTAAGGTCCATTACGTTCGGATGTGATAACTACGTATGAGAATAACAGTTCTTAAACCGATGCGTTTAAAGCTCAAATTATTCAGTTTGATATTTTGTTTTTAAGTACGTTGACATTTTCTTTGTATTTTTTTTATTACAATTAGGTTTATTTACTCAAATGTAAGGTAAATTACAAGGATAATAAAAACTGCTTTGAATAGGTACTTACATATAACTACTTACTTACTTATATACTTACTTATATATATTTACTTACTTAGACGTTGATATTTATAGCAGTTTTTCACCAGTATGTGTAAATGCATATAAAACTGTTATTGTGGTTAGTTATATTTGTTATGAATACCAATATAAATAGTAAACTAACAACAGTTAGATGTCGGAATGTCCAGTTAATAACATATTAACACAATAAAAAATCCTATGTTTACTTTTCTAAGTAATATTAACGGCTAACTCACGTAAATGTAATTTTTTAAAGAAGCTCGACTAGTTTCAAGCTATAACGGAGCCCATAGCCCATTTACGTTATGTACATCCTTAATATTATTTAAATCTAGTATAGCATATTTACCACAGCGAGGCAGTCGCCGCGTCGCGTCGCGTCGCAGGTCGAGGAATACTGTTAATGAATATGGGCCTCTAGTATGGCTTGAAACTAGTGGAGTTGCATCATTTAGCAATAAGAAACTTCAACATGAATTAATAAATCGGTATGAGAATCTCAATTAACTGCTGATGTGACATGTTACACGTGCGTGACACGATATATTTGCATGCAACTTTTCACTTTGTTAATTGTAAAACGATGACTAAGAAAAATTATTCAAGACATATTGTAACTCTTTGCATATGTAATGCGCATGCTTAATGCACGAAACGCAATTTTACATTAACATGTAGGTAATGTGATATTTGACGTAATTACATTAAAATAGAATTAAATCACTATTGCTTTTATGACTTGGATTCACTTGCATAGTAAATACAAATGATGTTTACTTATCTAGTAGGTGACAAATAGGTGGTTGACCAGAATACATGATTAGCATAGGCTGTAAATTGCTAAGAAGTCATTCGCTAATTTTCCCCCCTCAAAACAAGCATAAACTGTACAATTATTACGTAGGTTTGACCCCTGAGGTAAACCCTTTCCAAAACTAGCTAACAGAGATACAACCACGATCTTTATTCTATTTCACCTGTTTTTTTTATATTATTGAAATATATGGTTTAATAATCAGTAACTCAATCAAAAAAGCAATCAATCAAATCAATATATAATAATAATATAAAAAAATCATCTCCTAAAACTAACAAATTGAAAATATCCTTTTTAGGGCTCTAAACCAACATGGTCTGGTAGGGTATAACCAATTTCATAGCTATATATTTCTGTGGCTACAATAATCGGACTAGCATGAAATAGCACCTAGAGTCACATTTCACGTGGCTGAGTATTTACTACTATCGATAAACCACATGACATTTGGCACCCAATGTGACTACACGGAACGTTTGGCGGCATAGCACATAACTAGCCATGCGTAGGGACAAGCTGATAACGTGTATCTAGGTTTATCTATAGTATGGAAGCTATAGGTATATTCAAAGACGATACTACTGAATTGTTATGATAATATATGTATAATGTAAATAAATTTCCGCTTTTTGCTTCTGTATTTCAGCTCACTAAATGGCGCAAATGTAGATTGAAGTTCTTTCGCCTAATCACAGCAGCTGTCAAATATTGGACCTCCAATGGGTAGCTCGCCGCTCGACCAGAACCAGAACCGAGCGTACGGCGCGCCACGGTTCGCGCGCGCTTGTTAGAGCCATCAGACCACCACGAATGGGGCCCAATAGGGCTGATGCCGGTACGGAACCGTGGAGGACAGAGGACTTAGCGGGTTACCGGGGCTCCGGCTCGAAGTGCAGCAGGAGTAGGAACGGGATGGTTTTCAGTTTCATCCAGGTGGGAGAAGGCATTCGATAATTTTCCCCCTTAAAAGAAAATGTCTAACAGCAGCTGATTTCCTATTGGACGAAGAACGAGAGGCACACACTGTTGCCATTTGATGGGCAAAAATACGGCCCTATTGCTTGTAAACTTTATAAATGTAGGTAGGTATGTAGATTGTACCTGCTATCCTTAATCTGAATGCCAGGAGTTTTATCTATTAGAGAACACTGACCAAAATGCGAGTATTACTAGTATATCTTAGATTAATAATCATAAATGACAACATTTATAGCATTTAAAGATTTAGTCTTAGTCTGAGCTAAGAGATATATTTAATAGTTTATACCTTCTGCCCTTCTTTCTATTTGTATTACCTTCCAGTAAATCTATCTCGGTAGCTGTTCTAATAAGATCCGAACATAAAAGTATTTACTTCCGCATCTCTAATTAGTATACCTTTCTCCGACCATTCAATAAAACAAGACCTAAAATAATAACAGTACTCAAAAAGACCACACGTCGAAAGTTGTGACATGCAAACACGTACATAACAACCCACGTAATGAAAAAAAACCGACACAAATGAGGCCAGTGCATTCGAACGAAAACCGCAGACAGAGCGACGCGAATGCACTTGCATTAAGGCCTCTATACAATAGCTTTCCGGCCGCGCGATTTGCTTTGACAGCATTTACTGATAACTATCATAACTATTATGCTATACCCAAGAGTATGTGTTGTATATACTTATAGATTTACAGTACACTGTTGCAGTGGACAGTAAATCGTATTTCTAAATAATTATTTCTTTGTTTTTATAATAACTATCATGAGACTAAATTAACTAAAATCGCGCGTTACTCACGTGAATATACTGAGAAAAGCTGTATATACAGTAGGCTGTGCGACCGCGCACGCTACTCATGAGGAAGAACCCCTCTGTAGTTCTAAACTAGTAGAGCTTTTCTCAGTATATTCACGCTAATAACCCGCGATTTTAGTTAATTATATCTTTATTTCAAGCATTTAATTGGTAGGTAACAAAGCAATTTTTTTAATCATAATCTCATATGTCTCCGACTAGTTTCCATCAAGATATTTTGATTTTATTTTATTCAAAATTGATTATGAACACGTAAATACGAGAACATTGGCCTTTTTTTCAACGTCAGAATCCTGAATCGCAACGCAAGTCTGAAGAACCCTTACAAAGTCTATCCTCGACTACAGTTGGTACGGAGAGTCGTGCCGTAATGATAATTGCAAAATTTGCCTCGTGACAAAATATCAGGCGGCTAATTGGACTTAAAATTTAAACGGTAATTATACAGACTGACATTTTCATTTCCTAAGATTTTATTCTTGTGTATGAAGTGAATGCTACAGGATATTACCTAGGTAACCTAGGTACTAAGTTTTCCTGGCCCTTAGTACTGTAGTAGTTTAGTTGAACTGGTCATGTGGTATAACAGCTTCATTATGTAAGCTAATTAAGTTATGCTCGCTATCACTTCAGGGGGCCTACCACAACCTTTTATGAAACAATCTTATAATAAGAAAGTTTTGTTTCATGCTTAAAACAATCTTACTCTATTTCGTACCATGACCTTAATTACCCAATAATGTTTTATTCCTGCTAAGTGATGTGAAAGAACGAATGATTTAAACATATTGTCTATTCCTTACTAGAAAACAAAACGGAACAGCGCTATAAATGTTGTATAGCACTATCTCTTTCACACATGTGTTCCGAATCACATCTTAGTAACCGCAGCGTTTTGGTAGTTTGACGAAAAAATAACTTTAAAATAGTAGTTTTACATCAACAGATTATTAATATATGGATTACGTGTTTAAATATATGCATTTTTGGTGTTTTTTAACTTTAAAAGGTAAGAAAAATGGTTTTGTAAGTTATCAATATTGAGGCCGAATATTCATTATAGTGAATCGGACCTACACATAGATCTACTTATATTGGTTTGGTTGTAAAAATATCGGCGCGATAGCGGCGATAGACGAAATTCAAAACTTCTACTTGGAATTTCAAGTGTTTTGTCAATCAACAAAATATAAACAATTGGGTAGGTAACTGTGAGGGCCATAACGTACTATTTTAGCACTTTATTGTTCTCGTCATGGAAACAAGGTATATATTTTTAATTAAAGGTAACTTGTAGAATTTATTTATTAAATATTCTATTTTTATCATGTACTTACAATACTTTAGGTGGTATAGCGTAATTATTTATTTTGCAGCAGAAGAGTATAAAATATTGTAAAATTTAAATTATTATAAAAATTAATTTATTAATTGTAAATTTGTAGCCAATAGTTTACAATTAAATCACAGGGAAAACACATTTATGGCATATAAAAATACAACTTGTCCTATACTGTTTAAATACTCCAACTACTATTTTGAATTTTACATGGCCAATGCCAATAAAACTTTGCTCAATTTAAAGCCTGTGGCCAGCAGTCGCAGTATACGACACAGGCAGGCACAAAAATCCTAACAATAATATGTTATGAAGATAATTTATTTATTTATTTATTCATGTACACAACACAGACAATACACAGAAAAAAAAATTATAACAAAACAGAGGTACATAGGTACTGCATATCCCTTATGTGATTTCTTCCTGCAGCCCTGCGAAAGGATAATGATAGTGATAGATACAAAACAAAGGGTTTTGATCATGTTGCGTTCCTGGGTGCTCTCTGGAAATTGTACTATATACTTAGGTACTTATTCCGCATTTCCAGCGAGTTAAGGCAAGTAGTAACTTGTGGGATGGCAGATGATACAGTTTGCTGACACAAAACGTCCTTCATTATTGCCTATATGTGGTTGCAATGCACTGAACACCTAGAAATGAAAGAATCAATTTTAATTTCAATTCAACATATAAGGGGTAAATTGGCACATTAAATACTTTTTTGATACTGTTAGCGTTATAATTACCTTCGTCTCGATAGATAAGTCTGTGGATTTCTCATTGATGGCCTTATATTTCGTCACATAAATTGGGTACAAGTTCATCTGTAATCCTATATCGCCTAACTAATTTCGTGTCGTCTAAACGGAAAGGCGGACACTCTTCACACATTTGCATGCGCTGCTTCCTGTTATTATGATTATTCGAGGGTCCGGGCCTCCAAAAATTCAAAGATTTCGTATTCACTTGCCATCTAAAACTAAACAACAAAATTATGTATGGACACCAAAATCACTACAATACACATAACACAATTTTAATAAAGGCAATTTTACATATTTTGTGCCGTTTTACTCACTTTATGCAATGTGTAATTGTGTAAGTAATACTTATTTTTCAATAAATTCCGCAAATCAATGTTGTTGAAGTAGCACCGGAGCAACTTATTTAAGATTGCTAAATTTGACGTAAAAACAATATTGCTAAGCGTCACAAAACACCTCATGGTACGGTTTGAACGAACGATACGTAAGTGACGTCACCAAAACTGCTAAAAAAGTAAGATTGTTTTAGAACTCTTTATAAGGTTATTTTAAGACGTTGTGGTACGAAAATACAAAGTAAGATTATAATAAGACTGCTTTAAGACGTTGTGGTAAGCCCCCTGGTATGTGGCTATTAAACCACTCATAAGAACGAGAGCTATCTGCAAGATTTATGCCACAGTTAGACTACTCAGTTAAGTATAGAACAACCAGAAATTAAATGGAAAATACTTTTTCTTCACAGCATTCCATTTTTTGAAAGCAAACCTTTGTTTCAATTAAGAATAGTCCATACGATGTTTTTATAATAACGATCGTGAGACATACTAAATTAACTAAAATCGCGGGGTACTTACTCGGTCGCGGCGACGTCGCGCAGATTGGCGCTCGCCTCGGTGTTGCTACTTGTTGTAGTTGCGACCGCGCACGCTGCTCATGAGGAAGAACCCCTCTGTGGTTCGAAACTAGTAGAGCTTTTCTCAGTATATTCACGTGAGTAACCTACAATTTTAGTTAATTTAGTCCATACGATGTTATGACTGCAATAACTATATGTCCAAAAACAAAACAGCATCGTAGCATACAGTTAATAAGTATTCGTGTGACAACATCGAAAGATAGACGGGACTCTTCATAGATCATAGATCCACATCTTCATAGATAGTTACTAGGAATACCAAAACCAAAATATGCAACATCGCCTACAAACCGATGAACTTCATATTCCGCAATCCTATGCCTACTCGACCACCAGTCCGATTAAAGCCCTACAACTACATTACCGAACTGAATGAATAATTATGAATGGACTCACAGTCCCAACCATGACGGGAGCCGGATATTATGTCAACTAGGAATATACAAACAATCATTGTACACAGTTTTATGGAGGTACTAAAATATATTGCAATTTAAAATAGAAAGCCAACAGTTTTGTTATTATAGAGCTAGACAAGAGATCGTAAATATTTCATTAATGGATAGTCAATTTTAGAAATACCGGCAAAACTAATAATTGTCAACGGTTTTACTTTTGTTCTGTATCTAAGTGATAAATATAAAAGATATACCTCTACATACAACGACCAACTTTACATACATAATGCCTGTCTCCCATGGGGATTTTTTTACAGGGGGGAAAATCATCGAATAACTGCTCCCGTCTGGATGAGGCGGGAGGGAGTGTCGGACTCTTGCTGACTAAAAACCACCCCGTTCCTTCTCCTGCACGTCGAGCCGGATCCCCGGTAACCCGTTAGGTTCTCCACGACCTCCCATGGGGGTAAGCAGAGACTATGGAACGCCAATTGCTACGATTTCTACATACCTCTTCCGCTTCATCAACAGTCGTCAATCTTTTGATCCATGCTCGTCGGTTAAGAGTATATAGGGTAGGGTAATTTGGCCCACATACATACAACGACCAATTTTACAATATTTGTATTTAAGATAAAATAGAAATGATTAATGCCCATAGCTTCATGTTAACAACACGATGAATAATAAAACTGTTTATGGCATTCGGAAGCCTAATATGTAATCACCATCGTTATTGAGATTAGGAATAGATTGTCCTAAACATGTCCCGCATTTACCTTAATGGAACTTGAAAAATTTATATTCAGATTATAATTAAGAAAATATTACATGTAGATGTACCTGTAATATCTAGTTTTCGCATAAGATGAACCCTAGAAATAAGACTTTAAAAAAAGCAGTCTTTGGAAGAAGAGCCATCGTTTTCTATTTATATTTTTTGGTAATTCAAACATTACACAATAATTATAAAATGCACTTTGAATAACTAAATAACTACTTAAGTAATATTAGATAACAATCAATTCCAAAAGCATTATGTTTCAATAATGTTAAAATGTTTAATGCATAACAAGCAAGGGAAAGGAAACACCTCGAATAAACACGTAGAAATGCTGATAAAATCAAATATTCTAACGGGATGGCTTATTGTCATGCTACGCAATAACATGACCGACACATTAACACCAGCTGAGGGGTCTATGGGCCCCATAGATGTAGATCCCATGTCGTTTCCCCGGTCAACTAGGGTCCTCCGAGTCTTTGCGCAGATATAGAATAGTCTAGAATAGCTTACTTGGCCTTAAATGACTAAAGGTTTTTGAAATTGAAGAAGGCATTTGTCATGTGTTGACGGTTATTATTGAATTATTAATCTTGAATACACAATTGTCGACTCTACAGTAAGAAACAGTAATACCATCATGAGAAAAAAATTGCAGCGTCATTGTTGGTTTGCCTCCAAATTTCACATCCAGTACACTCTATATCTTTATTTACTTAAAACGATTACCAAATTAGAGAAATACTTGTTGACACACGTAATAAATCTTACTCCCCCTAACGAAGTCAGTGAAACGTGAAAATGTCAAATAAATTAAAGTTTGTAGCGGTACTTTGTATGGGAGGACAAAATTATCTATTCAGGTGGACGAAATTTTAACTAGACAAAACGTAAACGAAAATTAGTTACATTGAAAACCTCTTTTGAGTTCAGAGCAGACGAGCTATTTTATCTTTCGGCAACTTTTTTATATTCATATCTAGTATAGATATCACTCATTATGGTATAATACATTGGCGCCCTAAAACGGACTGCATTATCAGTTGTTTATATAGTCTATCTATTCACTGGAAACTATTGAATCATCATCACTGCAGCCCTTTAAACCTATTTAACCTAATATTTTTGCAAGCATTGACCCACACTAAAAGCAATACATATTGTAGGTACCTAATTGTGGTGCTGGAGAGTAACAATGATTTGATGAGTTGCTGAGTTGAGTTGAATGCATATTCATGGGAGCAACTAACGTAGATTTATTTACTGAGATAGATTTTTGACATAAGCTCCATAGAAAATTTGTGAAAATTCGTTAGCAAATCTACAGATAGAGAGGTTATAGAAAATGGCCGTTAATCGCCAGCGACGGACACTAAAAAGTAGCGTGTCTACTCACTACACACATCTAATAACGCTATCAAATGAAAAATTAAGTTTGTTGAGTGCAACTGTATTTTATATTGTTACACTTGAACGCACATTGCTTCATTAGTAACGTATATCACTCTTTGGACTTACACATTGACTATTGACCCCACACGTGTTCATAAATCAATAAGTTTATTAGGTATGGTGTATATATCTGTTTGTGTTTACCAATAGATCGCAACTTCAAAGTCCAGACCGCAACGTATACCTAAAATGTATGACAAAGACATTGTCGGTCTTAGTATTTCACATACAATTATTTACTTTTTTTAAGGGGGGATAATCATCGAATAACTGCTCCCGCCTGGGTGAGGCGGGAAGGAGTGTCAGATTCTTACTGACTAAAAACCACCCCAGGAGAAGGAATCGCACATCGAGCCGGAGCCCCGGTAACCCGTTAGGGTCTTCGCGACATTTTAAATACAATATTAAGTATTTAAGTAAAATCTCTAAATACAAAACAATCTTAACAGTTCTTTTAGCCTCTAGATACTTAGCCTTACAATTAAAACTTTTATCGGTTTTAATCTTCTTATAGATACTAATCGGTATCAAACGACAAGCACACTCGCGCTGCTAGCAACTCGATTAACAATTCAGCTACCGACCACGATTAACCCTGCGTAAAGCTGTTCGCAATAAAATTGTAATGGTATTCCTTCAATAGTAATATTTACCTTTCTCATTATGATAGGAACTATAAACATACCTCCTACTTAAATCAACACACGTGCGTGACAAAAAATAAACGAGAATCTTCATAAATAAACAAAAAGAAAGATTTTGATCAAACTTTGTGAAACTAAGCTTGGTTTAGAAGTTGTTTACCTCCTCAGTTTCCTTTATACAATGTGGTACAAAGTCAGTTGATTCAAACATCGTTTTATCAAACAATCGTAAAAACTAGCTTCTGCCACTGATTTCACTTGCATTTCCATAGAGTCATAAACAAAGTAAATGTTAACGCTCAACGGGACATAACAGATACTTTTCATTTAATATGAGACGGATGGAACGCCAGACACCATTCCAGCCTCTGTTTTATTACTTCGGATATCAAAAATTCAAATACTTTTTATGGAATTGCAGGCAAACGAGCAAACAGATCACCTGATGGTATACTATCATCACCGCCAACAGACACCCTCAATACCAGAGTAATCACAAGTACGTTGTTAGACTTTTCCCATCCCAAGGACATAATCAGGAGCCCCCATCCTTGACAGACTCCTTTCTGTCATTCTAATAACATTCATAACCATTATTAAAGATGTCCTATAACTTCATAAACTAAGGAGAAAGTACATACATACGTATCAATTTCACAAAACTCTAGTACTTTAGCGATTAACGGATTAACTTATAGTATTCCGCGTAATCGATCTCTTGGCTGACCGGAGAAAGCCACTAAAACATAATTGCTATACTAACAATCTTGGTAATTGTTATTACTGTATTCTTTGTCAGATAAATATATGTTTGTAAAATAAATTAGTTAGACGATAAAAATATTGGCCGAAGAATCTTTTAAGACTTGATACGTGTAGCGTAGCCTGCGGCGACGCGTCTAATTTATGAAGTTCTAAGTATCGAAATTAAATTATGATCGTTGATCGTTACGGTCTACATCTTTGGTCAAGCGATATAGAGTGTCAGTCTCTTACTGACAAAAAACCACCCCGTTCCTACTCTTGCACTTCGAGCTGAAGCCCCGTAAAACTTTTACGTTCTTCGCGGCTCCATAGCGACTTCAGCCCTATTGGGCCCCATCCGTGGTGGTCTGATGGCCCTTTGAGGCGCGTGCGGAACGCGACGCGCCGTACGCTCGGGTCTGGTTCTGGTCGGGCGGCGAGCTACCTATGCTCGTCGTCCGCAGGCCCGCACTTACGGTGGCCGGAGATAGTCTCGCGATCCCCGACGCCCAGAGTATCCTTCGCGACGACGGCTGGGTT